TTGATATTCCTGCATCCTCACAAGCTTTTGTGATTTGGCCAACCAAACATATTTTTATACCAGACATGTTTTTTCCTCCATCAACTGTCACGCACTGCAGATGGTTCCAGTCCAAATTATATTCTGTTAGTGTTTTTTGTATTTCTTTGAAGATATCATCTCCTGTTGTAGTGCCATACATGCTGTGAAGTGATGCTAATTCCTGTGTGACGTTAGATTCATCGTCGACGCCATGAAAAAATACTAATAGTTGAGAGGTATTACAAACATCAGTTGAAATCTATGAACAAGTATTTTTTTACCAGTACTCACTGGAAAATTAGTTCAATCGGCAAATGTCTGTACAATTCTTTCGCGGGCTGGATGTGGCCTGTGGGCCGTAGTTTGGAGACTCTTGGGGTAGACTATCGGCTCATGGGGGAAAAGTAATATTTTGTTATAATTTATACAACTTTAAAATGTTGGATGCTGAATACTGTAACTTATATTATGTATAAATAGGTATAAATTCTTTAATAAAAATTAGCAGTTGCACTTAGCCTATGAAACCTACATTTCTGTATGTACATATTGCCTACTAAGTAAACTTATATTACATTAAACAAATAAGTTTACAGGATGAAGACAATAAAGTAAATAAGTTTACAGTGGAGTTTTGAAGAATCTGTAACACTGTCATACAAGAGGCTACCCAGCACCGACTAAAGGTACACAACAAGTTGAAAACGAATGAATTAAATGCTCAAGATGAATCAGGCTTTAGAATTAACTTCTTTCATAACTGCAATTAAGCAAATGTTCTAGCAAACCTTGGCATGTTTTAACTCTAGCTCGGCAAGGTCAACCAAGTTCTTCCGGAATGCTGCAACTCGTCTCGTCTTAAAGTCCATCAATTCTGAAATTAAATATTAAAAGTGAAGTCTTAAATACATAAAATTCAGTCATTTACAGTGTTTTCCTATTTACATTTACTTTTGTATTCCTAAAAAACTCTCACTGAAACAAGGAACTCCCACTTACAAGACAAATTTGTTGCTATTAGATCACGACATGGACATCAATACTTTCAATCTAGCATCATAACTTACAAGACCTACAATGGAAATTTGCAATTGCAACTTCCTTATTGGGATTCCATTTCAACATCAAGCACAATCAGACCATGTCTAAAATATATTTGGGAATATGTCATAATCAAATAGTAATGTGGACTGTCATATCTTCTTTAGAAAGTTACTAGATTCTAATTTCAGCATATAATGAGAACCAAAACTGCCATACCACAGATCTTGTTGAACATAACTAGGCTTTTCTGTGAGCAAGACTGCCTAATCAAAATGCAACATAGTCTAAACACGTTTTAGACAGAGTATCATCTACAAATTTAAAATTTGTTTAGCAAAAATTCCATACTGTCACATGATGGAGTGATGATAAACAGGGTTTGGACTGGTAACTGTATTTCCTGCACACTTTTACAACTCACGACTACACTTTACAAATCACTATCACTACTGTTCTCAGTCACATTCCTTGGTAATGGCAAATGATATTATATTATTAGTAGGAACAAAATTACTGTAAAATATTTTGTGCCTTACTTTTCCCAATTTTCACTTAGCATGCAGCATTAAGCATTCCAGTTTCTAGGACATCAGTGAATGGATTTAAATATTTCAGCTTATACATCTCTTTCTCACTCACCTTCTTTTCCTTTGTCTGACATCTGTTCAAACTTTTCACATGCTTGTTGCTGTGCAAGCTCGGCCTGTTAAAAGTACAAACTTTTAATTTATAAAAATCTGAAAAATACTCAACATGCAGTATTCCTTATATAAAATACTGAAACAATGTTGTCATTAATTACATAAATTAAAAAAAAGAGGTAAAGCTACCCATGTAACAATCCGTGGAGGGCCATAGGGTTGTGAGACGCCGAGGCTCCCACATTTCCTAGACAATTGGTTAACAGGTGGTGGTGAGTTGTCAGCCGTATGCACCAACCACTCTTTAATCCCCGCCCCAGGAAGGTTCCTGGTACTCATTTCCGTTAGAGGCTGAGTTGACCCCAGGGCCGTAGTGCACTTGGAGGGATTAGGTCAATCAAAAAATCCAGTGACCTAATCAGGAATCAAACCTGAGACCTTCCAGCTTGTAGCATAGTGCCTCAACCAACTATGCTACCACTGGCTCCATATAAATTAAAGGAGAACAGAATTAAAAATAGTAGCCAAAATGAGGTAAAGTAGTAACACAACAAGAAAAGATGGTCAAATTAAGGACACATGGTCTGGACTTGTGTTATGCATGGAAGAAAATAAAAATTCCTTTGAGATCGTCAGAGTGAAGATATGAATACTTGACTTGGGGGGAGAGGATAAGAAAATGTGGAGAAAGATGTAAGACGAATGCTTATGGGAGGCCAGATGAATGTGGATGATGATGCCATAAGACAATCCACCCAGGTGGAAATGTCAGTGAATGATGTTTACAACAAAATTAATATTATAAAATAGTTCAACTTTTACAGTTCACATATACCAAACAAATATCAAACATTGCGCAATGATACATGTACAGCCAAGCATATACAGCCACTCCAAAACCTCAAATTCTTTCAAACTATTCAGTATTCAACATTCAATATACTAACATTCCTAAAATGCCATTTGGTAGCTCATAAAATCCTGCAACTAAAGGTCCATTTACTTATTACTCATATTGTTACTATGGAGTAGATTGTAAATTTGCAAGAAATAACAAATTGTCAATGAATAATCCGTCGAGGGAAACAATTCAAAATTGCAAGAAATAATTAAAAAAAAAACTAAAGGTAAAGTTACCTCTGTGTCTAAGCCCCATACCATGAGAGTGTAGGTAATGTTCTGTGTGTCATATCTCAGTCACCAAAAGAAGGTGTCAGCATTATAATCTGCCTGATCTACCCTTGGGGAAAGAGCCTCAAGCACCCAATGGATAAGCGGGACAGAGGGCAGGCTCCAGGACCAGACTGGATGCAGCAGCTATGTCAAAATGTAATTTCCCATAATAGCGATCAAACTCTGGTAAGACTTATTATTTACTATTCATTTTTAAATACTTCGTTACATTTCACAATTTTATGATGGGATTCTACATTATTTGATGTCATTTCTGGTTTAAGAATCCAAAAGCATATCCCTCTAGAACTTCCCCCTCCAGTCGAAGCACCTGTGAAGTTCTCAAACATCTCCTGCTATCACTTTGGTAACTGACTGTTTTGTGCTCATACAGTCAGATGTGAGTACAGCTATTCATGTGAGATGTCAGGTTCTCACAGCAGTGACCATGAAGAATAATGTAATCTGGGAAGTCGCACTGTGCATGCTGGTAGATAACTGCAGATGTTTTAAATGAATATGATGCTTCGGTCTTCAGGGTTATACACTGTAAAACCCTTTGTGGCACTATGTTCCTCCAAAGCATCAGCAACAATCTACCACACTACATGTTATCACATTCCAGAAGACAATACTCTTTGAAGCTGTTAATGTTTTTAAGTGATGTAAAACATTCTCCACATTACGAAATAAAAGGACATAAGAAGGGGACCTAGGGGGGCAGGAAAGAGTTAAGCAAGTACTATACAATCTAAGACTACTAGAACTGACAAAATGTACACCCATTCATTTCTCCTGCAGAAAATCTGAACAAACGGTGCAAAGTGATAACAACCATACAAATGTGAACATTTGACATAAAAATTGCATGCATGAAGAAATTTAGAGCATATTTAATTCAGGGAATGCTTGCTATTTCTCAGTTCAGAATCTTTTGTCTTCCCATCGGCTATCTAAAAATGTAAAGATTAAAATACACAGAACTACAGGGACATTTTTAATGCTATTGACGAGTTCACGGCTCTGCACTTCACCGCAACTGGTCCAATGTTGGCCACGAAGCACATGTGAATTTTGACAATGAAGTCTAATGCAAGAATGGCAACAAAATCGCTAAACCATCCAGTGAAAGTTTGTCTGGTGTGCTGTAAGTGCAAGAAGAATTGCTGTATGTGTATTTTTTTAACAAAAGAATCAATTGCGAAAGATAATAATGTGTAGAAGGATAGCATTTTCACCACCTCCTGTGATCTGTGAATAAGGGTTAGAACTTCCATTCATTTCAAATGTTACTGGCATGCTGAGTCATCGTCAAAATTCGCATGTGCTTCACAGCCGGCGGTGCTCCAGTAGCGATGAAGTGCAGAGCCATGAACGTGTCAATTTTATTAACACCCTGTATAATCTTGGGTATTCTTTTGTATAACTGCAAAACTTGGTCTCTCACATTAAGGGAAGAATGTAAACTGACGATGTTTGAGAACACAGTGCCAAGAAGAATATTTAGGTGTAAGAGTGAGGATTTTAGGGGAGAATGGAGAAAACTGCATGATCACAAATTTCATAATTTGTACTCTGTCACTATATATATTATTAGGATGCTCAAATCAAGGAAGATGAAATGGGCATGGCATGTAGAACACATGGGAAAGAATATAAATGCATGTACAATTCTAGTCAGCAAACCTCAAGGAAAAAGACCTAGACATGGATGTGATGGGAATATTAAAATGGAACTGAAATAAGACAGGAAGGTGTGGATGGATATATCTGGCTCAGGTTATGGACTGATTTGGAGTGGGTGCTTCCTGTGAACATTGCAATGAGCTTTCAAGTTTGATAAATGCTGGATATTTGACTAGCTGAGCAACTATTAGCTTTAAAAAAACTCTTCTACATGAGTTTTCTGCTGGTATTTTCTCTATTACAATCTCTTGCTTAATAAAGTGAACACAATATGCAATCATGCTTGTCATGTATAAATCTGGATATTCATATTACCGTTACCATTAGCAATGGCAAAACATGCTGTGAGACAGTTCAGTTTCAAAACACTCAAACAGCAATGGTAATAACACTGCATTCTGCAAGCCACAGTTATCTTGGAGAAACCGTATAGTTTCTCTATATTAGGAAATAGATCTATGCTGTAAGTTTCATATAGATTCAGCACTAAAACAGAACATGAAATAGTCAGTCCAAATGAATACACAAAACATGCAATTATTCTATAAACAAAAGTAGGTAAACCAAAGCAAGACTAGTGTCCGTAATAATCCGTAACTATGCAAATATAAAACCAGAATAATTTGTCCAATAGGCTGCACATAAAACCTCAACACATACTACAAGACAGTTACATTCACAAATTACTTGTTTGGACCAGTAAAGGAAAGGAATTTTTGGTTATACGCATGCCAGTATTCCAACATATGTCAGGAGTGGTAGAATGTTGTATACTTAGTCTGATTTTGCACATTCATAATACAGGACAGGTTACCTCACAGCTGAAAATTCAACTGAAAACTGAACATAAAATCCATTAACAAAACAATTTCTGTGCATCCGCTACTTTACTGTGTAAAATAACACACTTTAAAAAAATACATAACTTCCACAAAGCATTTCTATACAGTTGTAACAATTGTACAGGGTGGGGCACAGAAACTTCCTTTTTTTGAAGGCGAATAAAAGAAAAATTATTGCTGATAGACAAAATTTATGTTTAGCTAATGAAAGAACATGCTTTAAAGTTTTAAATCATGTAGTTTTAAACAAAATATCTTGAAGGGGGTGACCACCGTTCTCTATGCACTGATGCAACCGTTTTCTGAAGTTCCCCTCTGAATGGTCCAATATGCGCACCGGAATTTTGGCTACTTCCTGCCGAATAACATTCTCCAGCTGAAGCAGGTTTGTGGGGCAATGTTTAAAAACCTCTGCCTTGAGGTATCCCCATAAAAAAATCACAGGGCATTAGATCAGGTGAGTGCGCTGCC